AAGGCCAAATTGAAATAACTAACTTATAAAATTTCTTTTACATTCAGTATCTGTATCCACACGATCTGCTTGCGGAAAAGGATACTGTGCTGGGTTTTTTGGTTCTTCTTTCGTTTTTGCCTCCTCTTGCACTAGCATCTACTGGTGCAGAAACCTCTTTCAGCTTCTTTCCACTGTAATCAATTTACTGTGCAAAACAGCAGTAGCACTCTTTTTTTTTCTTTTTTTTTTTTCTGTTTTAATTCTCAAAAACCAGTATTTTACCTCGTCTTCAATTTTTCTTAACCATTTTCTTTTTTCTTTTTTTAAATCTAAGATAGACTGCTTTTTTCTGGTTTAATTTCGTAGGTTATTGAAGGGCAAACGTGCCGATCAGTAATTCGATAAGGGGTGATCAAAATTTTGAACAAAGTTGGTAAAAATTTTATCGTCATGATGCGGCAAAATATTATTTGTCATGTTTTATTTCTTATTTTTTCTTTATTTTTTATTGCTCAACTGCACTAAGATGAACGTTTCGTTACAGATACTGATTGCTTAATACACGATTTCATAAAGGTGCTCCATTTTTTTGCTGTTGTATACTTTCTATTTCAGCATTTTCTGTTGTTACCAAAGTCTAACTAGATGGTTGAATTAGACAGCGTAACTTTTATTTTGTTTTTCTGTTTTTGTAGTCTTGAAGTTTTATAAGATTTGTAGCATTTTTTGGCAGGAAATAAGAAAATCTTTAACGAACGACGCTAATAACACTTGTTAAATAATGTTTTCCTTTCTTTCAGCTCTGTCTTATCTGAAACTTTGCCTGCTAAAACTTTCAAAGTTTTTCATTCTTTTATCTTCTTCTGTTGATATGTCTACTGATTAACCATTTTTTTCTCCCTGAGAATTTGTTTTTGTCCTTTCGTTGACACTTTTTCAAATCATAGGGATTTCAATTTGACCTTATTGTCTTGAGACATCAATTTCTTTGTCATTTGTTAAAGGACGCCTGTGTCTCTGTCTGGATGTGTGTTTTAGTGAGAGTGAGTGTGTGTAAATTATCGTCTCATGGACCTACATTAACGGGTTTTTCATGCTAATAATTCTAACTTTCTGCTAATGGTTTTATTTTTTCATATTTTTTATTTGATATTATAGGTTTTATGTCAAACAATATTGAGATGATTGAATTGTTTGAATTTTTTGTATGAAATTACTTATTTTAATTTGAAGCAACTAATAAAAGCAATAAAGTGAGAATTGTGCTTAGTAAAAAGCAGCTGGTGAATAGCAGTTTAGTAAACTGTAATAAAATAACTGATGTAATAAAAATTGGTTTAAACAATTCGCTTTTCTCGGAGAACAACAGATTGTATATTGCTCAAAAACTGTCATTTTAACAGCATTTTAGGACATATTAAAATATGGAAATTATTTATGCAGTTTGATCGTTATTTAATTATTTGCAACAGTCATCTTATGCTGAATTAATCTCAACAAAAAAAATATGTACAAAGCAGCATTAAGCTTTAAATACTCTGTTGAAGCAGCGGTACCTTCTAAAGCGCCGCTGGTTGAATAAGTAACGTTCTGGCTCTGTTGCCTAGTATCGCTGACAATCAATAAGACTGATGTGCGGAAGGAAGAACATTGAGTAGTAATGCTAGTCGATGCGGTTAGTAGTTGTTTTCATATTTTGTTTACAGCATCAACATCTAATAATTTGAAGCATTTGGATCTTGCTGCTCGTGCTAGAAGAATATATGCAATTCGTTGAATAGTGTGCTTAATGACCGGAAGAATTGTATTGTTAGCGATAGTAACCGCCAAACAAAAATTTTCTGGAACTCTTTTTCTCAAGAAAACAATCTCCTGTTTTGAGCGTCTAAAAATGGGTCAAGAGTGCAAATTTTGAGCAACATAAAATTTTTCCTTAATCTGCTATTGTTGTTGTCCTGCCTATTCTTTTAACGGCTGTTACTAGAGATCTTGAAGCTGATGCTTGCATTTTTATTAAACATCTTAGTCATAGATACATTCAGAAGTTAGACAAAACAAAAAGAAAAGCAAAGAAAAAAAACAGTAGCTTTACCTCTGTATACGAGCTTCAAAAAATGGATGAACACCAAAAGTTGAAATAAAACGTGCAGCAATCGGTCTATGGTATTTATGACTGTTTCATAGTTCATGACAATACGCTTTTCCAGAATACAGATAAAAAATGTTACGAAATAAATAGAATTTTTCATCAGCATATCTTGGAAGGTTCAGAGTAGTTCAGAAACAAAAAACTTTGCTCAATTTTTTGTGTCACGTGAACAAGCTTTTATCGACGTATGTAAGCTCTACCAATAGCAGTTATCATATGAACTCAGATACATGCCGTCTGCTAAAGTCTTCCGCATTATTTCTGACGTATACTCCATAAAATGTTCTGTGCACACCACAAATTTTTTCACACAACAGAATATATACATCAAATTGTTATCCTTTACTAAAACGCTTCGTTTAGCAACCTGACAATTTTATGCACTTAAAAAAAGGAAAGAAATTCTAAGCAATTTAAAAATGTGCAAGGTTAAGAAATTGCATGTAAAAATGCTAATACGATCATTAACTCCACTACCTTTATTGGTATAGAAGAGAAAACAGAAGAGAGAAAGAGAGGCAAAAAAAGAGAAGCAGATAATGTTTAGACATTCATTAACTTGATGGGTAGTGATGGATAAAGCAAGAAATGAGGATTTTTCTCAACTAGATCGTTCTTGCCTCCTCTAAGTTAATACTGTATGAATAATTGAAATGATGAATTTGACGTAAAATCACTTACATTAGCCAACTTACCGATGTTTTCACTCAAAATTTGTTCTTTGTTGAAGTTTCTGCTGCAGTCAGATGGCTACGGAAAAACAATTTTCTGACTGCACGACCACTAGTGGCGAAAGAAGTGAAGGAGTTGACATAAAGGAGCACAGGTGCAAGTACATCGCACAAACTGCCAAAAGTAAAGAAGTCGATAATACGTAGCAATCACAACTTGAGTTTCCTTCTGTCCATTCAAGTTACCAAAAAGAAGGCTGGCAGCAAGCTAGACTGCGTACCTTGCAGTTAGTTTATTACTTATACAGAATTAATTGGTCGGCTATATCTTCATTATAACCGGGGCAATCGAAAAATTAAAGCTGCTAACTGGCAAAACAACGTTTCTTTATTTTTTTTGTTGAAACCATGCAAGTCATTTTAAAAGAGAATATCGGTTTTCTAGAAGAAACTTCATATTTAAATTGTTGCACTACTCTTTTTTCGTTCATGTTCCTTCTATACTAATTTTATTTCCTTTGACAGCAATTATTTACGTCCACTTCCCAAAAAATGTACGCATATAAACGCAAACAGGATTATGAAGCAGTGGCAAAAAAAAAAAAAACAACAACAACAACAACAAAGAAAAATTTTCTTCAAAAGATGCTGTTTAAACTAGCACAACCTTTTACAAAGATGACTTGAAGTAGTGACTGAGTATTGATGAATTTTACAAGACACTTGTTCTTCCGAAACATATACGAAAGACACGAAATTTGTACGTTTGCCCTGATAAGAACAGCAAAACAATACTAAATCTCTTCTAGCCGCTCTCAGAAGACTGAAAATAAAAAAAATATAACTAAAACTGAGAAAGTAAGCCAATACGTTGAAAACTGTCCTTTTCCTTTATTCTATTTTCCAGGCACTAAATTTTTATTTTCTACTCTTTCACGACTAAAGATAAACAAATTACGACTATTTGGAAGCCGGAAATATCGGATATAAGGAAAATCGAATATAGGGTAAAAGCGACTGTAGAAATCTATAGCAATCCCAACTAATGTTGTCAAAGTCCCAAACTACTCTTAACCTCTAAAATTATGGTTTACGGTTTCTGCATGTTATATATTATACACTATGTGCAATATGTTATATGTTATGTATTATATATATTATATATCATATATTATATGTCATATATCATATATTATATTTTAAATACTTTATACTATTATTAATATTGTAATTGTTATTCTTATTTTTATTGTTGTTGTTCTTCATAATATTATCATTATTATTTTTGATTTTTCTGAGAGGAGTTATATGCCATATTAATTATTCGGTTTGAGTAATCAACATTTAGACATAAACTAGCAGAATTCTTTTTTTTAAAGTTGAAAGGGTTAGTCAGGCATAATAAACAGGCTTGAGATTTTTCTAAGCTCTTCTTTTAGCCTATAATCTTTTTTTTTCGAAAACATTGCCTTGTTGTTTATAAAATATAAATAAACAGGAGTAGGAAGGCAATTCATTTTACTCGCAGTTTTGATACTCTGCAAGGGGCAGTTTTGGGTAGACTTTTTATTTTTACTTTTATTTTTATTTATTTAATTTTTTTTTGTAAAATTCACTTTTATCTGTTGTGAAATTCAGTTTTTCATTAGTGAATAGGGATCTTAGACAAATGTGAACGCAAACAACCTTCAGTGCTCTAGCACTTTAAACACTAATTAAATAACACTTAAAGCCTAGCAAATGCAGTGAAAGAAGGAATATGTCAGTGTTTCTCAAAAATATCTATAGTAGCTTGCTTAAAAGGTCTTCTAAATAGTCTATTTGTCGCTCAGCCTGCCTCTGCAAGAGCGTGCAAAGCACCAGTTTGAAGAAGTGTTTTAACGTCTGAAGAAAAGCTAGGATGTCAGCTGAAATTGAATAAGTAATCGAACTTGAAAAGCAACAGATAAACTTTGGTTATAGACCTGAACTTTTCTAAACTGAGGCCCGAAAAACGGTTGTTAAGCAACGCAGTAAAGAGTATAATGAAAATACAATACGATTCCAAAAACTTTTCTTGCAGAAAGCTCTCTTTTAGAACAATTTAAAAAACTTGTTTGACGCAAGCTGATATACTAATACGTCTTTATAATGCAAGAGCGATCAAGTGCGGAAGAATAGCTATGACGTTCTGAAGCTGCTGAAGTTCAGTACAAAAGGGCAGCCCTTTGTTGGCTGCCAGTTTTTCAAGTTGGCATTACCGATCTTCTGGTGGTCCTAAAAAATGCAAGCTACTGTTATGCGACTTCTGCTAAATTTTTATTGGTAACTGAGCGGAAACTGTTTGAAATCATATAAACTTGTGAGCCGACATAGTACAACACATTTAATTGCGTTTTGTTAAAATTTAAAAAGGCAGTATTCTACTATGATATTGCAGGTGTATTGTGTAACCAAAAACAGTTAAACTAAATATGCACCTTAATATCGTCACTGCTTAGCTCTAAGAGCAAAATTAAAATTTGGTCAAGTTAAGGGGCAGAACTATAAATGCATTTATGCAATTTAAACTTACAGAAGAAACCAAAGCCATTTAAATTTTTCTTTGTTCTGCTTCCATATATTTTCAAACGCTCTTAAGATTTCATTATAAGCATGCCTTATTCCCACAGAGAGACGTCTAATTATGCTTTTGAAAAGCAACGGAATGACTAAGAAATAGGGAAAAAGGCAGAGTAATTTACTATCTTTGACAAAAACCGTTCCAAGCATTAGTAAATAATATCCGTAAAATTGATCGCTCACTGGAAATTTAACAGCAACAGAAAAGTTATAAACTGCACGCTAAAAAACCATTACAAATCAATGTGATTTCCAGGTTTACTGTATTTTCCAACAAAAAATATAAAGTGAGCAATTCTCAAAAAACTTTCACTGCTCAGTTTTCCCTTTCAAGTATTGTTGTTTAAACCTGTCTAAACTCGTTTATTGCGCCATACAACATAGATGTACACCTTGGGCCAAAAAACTGAGAAGAATATAGGGCCTCTCATTTCCATCTTAGTGTAAAAATGTTTGTCACGGCGGGACCAGAATTATGGTATCATGCTCGGTTGGCAACTCAAGCAAGTGTTGGTCCAAGTTCATAATAGGGCACTTTTACCAGCCTAGCTGTGGAAAATTTGTGATTTTGGCGTCATTATGTTCTTCAAATTTCTGGCAACAAGCTGCTTGCTAAGTTTTGTTAAAATTAAGTTTCTTTGCTAGGCTACTCGCCAAGATGCATTTTTGTGCTCAGTTCATTGGTTTGCTATTTTTGTTACTCTTAGAGTAAAAATGACTTTGTTTTGCCCGTCTACGTGCAACTTTCTTCCATTTTAGAGTTCTACCGACTGCTTACCTGAACCTGCAA